GGAGACTGCAGCAAGGCCCAAAATGGCTGGTTTGGCCCAGGGTTCCCGTTCCTGCCCACAGCTAAAGACTCCTCTGAAGTACGTGGAGCCCAGACGCAGGGCTGTTGCCAAATCGTGGGGGAGGCTGGGCGGGGAGAAAAATAACAGCCGCTGGCGAGTGGTTGAGCTGAGCTGAGCAGACCACACTGGCTCAGGAAATGAAGACACCCCAGGAAGTCCAGCAGTGTTTTCTCAAATGCAGAGTTGAGGATTTTTGCTTTCAAGTAATTTCTACTGGAGTTTGTGTTTATGAAACATGGGAGCCGGCTTTATAACTTGCAAACTTTGGAAAACAATGTGTATGGGGACTTCTAATTATCTTAACCTGTTTTAGGAAACAAAGGCGGCTCCAGGAGGGTACCATCACTGCAGGGAGTGGGTGGGAAGGTCTGATCCCCTACTCGGTGGAGGGGTGTCCTGGCTCCAGGCCCCTCCCTCAGGTCTCAGTGGGCCCCCGTGCCTTCCTCTTCCTCCAGGAAACTGCAGGGCGCCTAGGCAAGGGCAGCCTCCAGCCGCGGCGCTCCCAGCCCGATGGTCCGACTGCGAAGGGCGGCCCCTTTCCCTGTCCAGCCGCCTCGGCTGACCGTCTGCGTCCTCCCTGCGGGCCTCCGCCTGGAGCCCTCTCCTTGCGGTGGCCAGCCTGCCCGGCTGCTCTCACCACCGGGCTGAACATCCCTCTCTCCCTACCGCGGCTCTCTACCCAACCTCGGCCCGGCACCTTCCCTAAAAGCAGCAAACGCCCGGCGCCTCCCGCGAGGAGACCCGCCCTTCCCCGCCCCGCCGTCGCCACCTTCAGGTTCACGACGGGCAGTTCCATCCCGACCCAGGCGGAGAACACCTGCGCGACAGCCACGGGGACTTCTGGGCTCTGAGCTCCGGGAACAACTCGCCCAGATCTGCTCCGGGTCACGTGAGGCGGGCTAATGTTGGTCACGTGGCTACTGCCCGGTTGCTAGGAGACGGCGTCGTTCAGTTAGAGTCCAGGAGCGATCTGGCAACAGCTGGGTTTCAACCCTCCTTCACGGAGTAAATAGGTTATTTACAACACCTACCTCTTAAGGTACTTGTAAGGCGGTTGGCAGGTGGTGTGGTGGTTAGGGATGCTGGGATCTCCCATAGGACTGACTGACTGTGGTTCAAGTCCCAGACCTGGTAGCTTGCTTTCTCACTTGCCCTCTCTTTTTCTCTCTCTCACTCTGTCCCTCTCTGGTCAAATTAAAACAAATAAGTAGATATAGATACATAATTAAAATAGATAAATATCGATAGATATAGATAGAAAGAAAGAAAGAAAAAATCATACTGGGCATGTCTGCCTTCATGCCCAAAGTTGCAAGAGGAAAATGGAGAAGGGATTGTGGTGTGGCTATCCAGCTGGGGAATTGGTTTCTCACTTTCCCTCTTTCCGTATCTTTCTCTCTCTCTGGCGAGTGCATGCACCCTATGACAAACAACTTAAATAAAAGGGGGGCCAGCAGGTGGTGGGGTTGTTAAGGTGGCTGGACTCCCACATGGCTGACCACACTTCGAGTTCCAGACCTGGCAGCTTGCTTTCTCACTTTCTCTGTCTCTCTCTCTCGTCAACTTAAAAAAAAAAAAAGAATAAAATAATGACAATGAATAAAATTAAATAAAATCATTATTTTAAAAAATGCTTATGAGGCCAGCAGGTGGTGTGGTGGATAAGGGGGCTGGACTTCTACATGGCCAACCGTGGTTCAAGGATCGGACCTGGTGGCTTGCTTTCTCACTCTCTCGCTCTATTCT